TGGTGGTACAGCCCAAATACCACCCATAATAAAGCATATAGCAACAAAATGCCAACTATATTTTTCTATTCGACGTTGAAATTTTATTGACATTGATGAATTAGCTGTTGTTGCATATCGTACAATTGATAATGCAACAAGCATATACATTGTAAAACAACCATTAAAAAACGAATTAAAACCTTCTATTCGACAAATTAATGGTATGCATAAACGACGACAAAGAAAACATTGTACAACAACTGATGGTACACTAATAATTATGACACATAGAGATGATGCACACATACCAATAACAAGACCTATGTCGCGACGAGGTAAACAATAATTTCTATTATTTATTGGTAATGAACGTACATTGATTATAAATGATATAATAGAAATAATAAGAAGTAATGAACCAGCTAATCGTGAAAATCTACATTCATTTATTGTAGTTTTTCGAACTAATGTTGAATTAGTAAAATTAGCAATTGAATATAAACAATCAACAGCAATTGACACTTTAAATATTAACAAATATTCAAGTTTTTCGTTTTTTTTTCCTATAAATTCAAATTTGTTACTTACTATCATTCACCGTATTTGACATTTTTTTTCTGTTATTTATTAATAGTCAGATGTTAGATAAAATTTCACTGAAGAAAAAACATCAAAAGTATGTTTATATATATATATGAAGCGTGTGGATTACAAAGAACGACTCTCTCACGAAGGAATATATTCAACTCTTAGACACCGTTCGACTTCATATGATAATTACGCGTACATCTTTCTGACACTTAAACACACCTTAACAATGATATGCATTCGTACCCTGCTGTTGGCGAACATGGATGGCTGTTTTAATGAGATATTTACTGAGAGAAACGGATTTCCATTAAATCCGAAAGAAAGAATTTTTGCTTTGACATTTTATCCATAGGCAAATTTAATAGTCATTAGATAGTTTTGAAAGTTACAGTGAAAGCGTACAGTTGTTCTTGAAATATTCAATTTCTAAAAAAAAATAACGATTTACCATAGCGAGCGACACAGTAATCAAGTTGAAGATGGAATATCTCGAGAAGGACTGTGTGTTTTTGTTGAAACTATCGGAACTATCCAACGATAACTAAATCTGTCTGCGGGCAAAAATTCAAGTAAATACTCATTGTTCTGAGTTTTACAAAAATACGTTGCTCTTATTTACCATATTACAGGTTGAACTCTTAAATTTGTGCTCTTTTTTTTTTTAATTGATTTAACTTTTGCTCAATTTCAGGAATTTATGAACCAATCTCATGCAGTTCAATCATGATTTTTTTGAAGAGACTCATGGTCGTTATCAATAAAAAATGGATGCAAAGAAAACTAACATTGTCGTGGTGCAAATACTATATAGTTCACACATTATTTATCGATAAAGTCTATTGACTTACTAATTATCTATATTTGGAATTCTCTATATCACAAAGATTGATTCATCTCATGAACTAAAGAAACAACTTAGAAAAAAAGAAATAACTTAGAAAAAAAGAAATTATTTATTAAAAGCTATAACAAGTCGAGATATTTCAGAAAAACTAACAAGACCATATTTACAGTTCACCTGGTATATATATATAAAACGAGAGATAGATAAATAGAGACAAGGAGAGTCGTACAACAAAAGAGAATACTTGTTACTTTTTCTGTATCTTGTCTTATGCCTGCTCAATGTTAATCATAAAAGACTATGCATGAATTACTCTTCAAATAATCGAAATCGACAATAGACTTCAATACATTTTTGATGCTATCTTATTTTCCTTTATAATTCAGCAAATAAATATGGAAAGAAAAGAAAAACGCAAGAAATTTAATGTGAATGACAAGATATGCACGAAGCAATTCATTTTTCTCTTTTTTTTGCTTATGATAATATCCAGATATTCTTTTTCTTCTTTCTTTATTATTTATTAAAAATTAAATCTAGTATACCTATGGATTTGATAATATGCAAATATTGAAAGAAAATAATATGATATCTGCTATGTAACTCATAATTCATATTAAGTTTATTTTTTTGTTAAATTTTTATCATTTATTACATAATCAAATAATGTTAAACTAGATAATATATAACTCATTACATTATAAGATGAAAACTAGAATATATCTAGAATTTCATAACGATTAAGTGTTGTTTCCTTCTTGGATATAATTTTTTATAACACTTTTACATTTTAATATAGTCATGCATGCTGTGATATAGCTTTATTTCTAGAGAGTTCTTTGATTCTACTAGAATGGATAATATTACTTTGTACTCTTTAATCTTTTCTTACACGAATAATCGTGTTACTTTTTTCTATGTATATTTAGCATGCTATCTATGAAACAGAATAGTTGTATTATTATTTGTATAGAACTGAAATTCTAGTAAAATGCATATTTTATTTGTTTAATCTTCATAATTTTTTTTATGATGAATACTTAATTGTTTTTTTATACATTCTAAACACATTGAGTATATATTAGATAATGAACTGATGTAGAACTAATGTTTTTTGTTATAGAAACATAAGTGTATGCATCATATGAACGCTAATGAAGCTTTAATATGTGGAAATGGGTTAATCTCTTCAACTTACTCTTTATATAAAGTTGAATTCAGATAATTAAAATTTCAATTAACATGATCGTATTTCTTCCAAGAATAGCTTCAGTAACTATATCAACAATGAAATAAAACATTAATCTTATATGATCTTTTTGAAGATTTACTATTTTTAGTATGATTTACAATGAAAATAGAGAGAACTTGAAAAATGTTTTTTACTAGTAAGAATTTATATTATTATATCTGGAACCAGAGTTGGAACCGGTAAGAAAAGGATAAAATGGTCCGGTCCGGCCGGTTGTTAATCATTTCTGAACCGGTGAAATTCCGGCAAACCGGTCAATTTTCGGTCAAGCTTACCGCTTTAAAAATGGTTCCAAACATCCAAAAGTACGGTAGAAATTGATAAAGTTATTTCTAGTTGTAAAGTGAATTATCTAATATTTAAATAACACGGTTGAAACAATATGATTTAGCTCCTCGTATCATAAGTACAGAAAACTAAAATCGACCTAGGAATAGGTTTTTTATAAGCATATCTTAGAAAATTTCAATATTCGTACTTGAGAAAATATTATTTGACTTTTTATGAGACTTTTAGAAAGGATATGCATAATCTTTATAATCATGAAGCATCATCATTTTTTCAAAAGGATATTAAGATTTTCCTAACTGATTTATATAGTACTGCCTGGTCTATTTCAAAACTGATAAAACATATGCCTAATTGTCTTCGTGTCTATCATAGTATTACAATCATCGCGATAAATATCGATTATAAACTGAACAAAATTTTTAATATTGGCACTATGGAAAGACTTTCTGGACATATATGTATAATGATGGAAAATTTGTTCTACTTCATAGTAAAATACATAGTTCTTCTTACCGAATAAGAGCTAAGTAAAGATAATATTTTTTAAACTTAAACCGGTAAATTTCCGGTATTTACCGGCCCGGTTGACTTTCTAAACCGGACCGGTTCCAACGCTGTCTGGAACTGTATAATGATGATATCATTGCAAAAAGCTTGAGCATAATATTTTAATGAGCAAAAATTAAAATAAATATATACTCATTATTAATGCTTATTAGTAATAACAGTATCGAATGTGCGTCTTTTTATTAGTAAATGGTTGCCTTCATTCTATGAATAGAACGTTCTCTTTCTTTTTTTGTGTTGATTTCTTACGAAATATGATTAATTTAATTGTCAATTATATGTCTAAATTTTTTTATAAGTATTTTCATACTTAATAATACCTTGACTATGACAAATGAAAGGTTATTCTAAAAGAAGCAGTCGACATTTACTGATAGAACAAAAAAAAAGATGTCAGAAAATCTTTGCTTTGTTTTTCACAATTAGTTTAATTAAAATCTAATCTAACACTCTTGTCGTATGTTTCAATAGTTGTTTTTTGATCCTATCTTACAAAATAAGTAAAGATAACTTTGGATTTTCCCATAATTCCACATGAGAATGAAGCAAATATTAGAAAATCGACATGTGAATACTATAGATTAATCAATGCTAACGATCTTAATCTTGCATATAAGTAAAGACAAGGAATCTCATATCTTTGTAATATAGAGCTACGAAAATAATTCTAACTAGTTGCCTGTCTTTAAAGATAAATCGGTTTTTTTCTCTATTTACGTAAGATTATATAAATGCAGTTTGCTAAAAAAAAGTGCGTGCTGACCTATTTTATTTGGAGTAAAATCATTTGTATTACTGTCATTTTTCTAAGCGCACTTTTAAATGCAAGCACGTATCTACAAGCTTAAATATTTATAACCATCCTTCGTTCTTTTTTTGTTTTTAAGAATTCTCAATAGTATTCATATAAATACAAATAACAATAGAAACATTCTATATTATTATTCAGATATATGAAATAGCAGAAGTCTAAAATTATTGAAACTATTTTTTTTCAATTAGGCATTGAATTTTCAAATGAGTTTATTCTTATGTTCATACGATTCGTGATTTAGTTAACATAAAGGGTGTATAAATAAGTTCTGATTCCCTTCAAGTAATATTCTTTTCTTTCATGATTTTTTTAGTAGAATAGACTGATATTGGCAACATATATACTAGACATTTAGATCTACTCTACACTAGAATTTCAGCCTTCTATCTGTTATAGTCATAGAAATATGAGTAACTTAAAATTCATAGGAATTTTTTTGAAATAATTAAAGGATATGCGAGAATAAAGGACCATGTTTTGAATTTTATTTTCTCATCATCTAATGGGTTATATTGAAAAACAGAATATAGTATAAGATGCAGCATGAAAAGCTCTACAATCTCCATAGTGAAGCTTATTTTAATTG